AAAAAAAAAAAAAAAAACCCAAAAACATAAAACACAAAAATGAAAAACAGGCCAATATCTTTGATGAACATCAGTGCAAAAATTCTCAACAAAATGCTTGCAAACCAAATCCAGAAGCACATCAGAAAGCTAATCCACCATTATCAAGTAGGCTTCATCCCTGTGTTGCAAGGTTGGTTCAACATATGAAAATTGGTAGGTGTGATTCATTACATAAACAGAACTAAAGACAAAAACACATGATTATCTCCATAGATGCAGAAAAGGCTTTTGATAAAATTCAACATCCCTTCATGTTAAAAACTCTCGATAAACTAGGCATTGAAGGAGTATAGCTGAAAATAATAACCATCTATGACAAACCCACAGCCAATGTTATACCAAGTGAGCAAAAGCTGCAATCATTTCCCTTAAAAACTGGCACAAAACAAGGATGCCTTCTCTTACCTTCTATTCAACATAGCATTGGAAGTTCCAGCCAGAGCAATCAGGTAAGAGAAAGAAATAAATGTCATCCAAATAGGAAGAGAGGAAGTCAAACTATCTCTGTGTGCAGATGACATGACTCTATGTCTAGAAAACCCCAGCATCTCAGCCTTAAAGCTCCTTCATCTGATAAACAACTTCAGCAGTTACGGGATACAAAATGAATATACAAAAATCACTACCATTCCCTTACACCACCAATAACCAAACTGAGAGCCAAATCAGAAAGGCAATCTCATTCACATTCACACACACACACACACACACACACACACACACACACACACAGAGTACCTAGGCATACAGTTAACCACAGAAGTGAAAGATCTCTACAATGCGAATTACAAAACACTGCTCAGAGAAGTCAGATAAGACACAAACAAATGGAGGAACATTCCATGCTCATGGATAGGAAGAATCAATATCATTAAAATGGCTATACTGCCCAAAGCAATTTACAGATTCAATGCTGTTCCTATCAAATCACCAACATCCTTCACAGAACTAGAAAAAGTTATTTTAAAATTTATGTGGAACCAAAAAAGAGCCCAAATAGCCAAGGCAATCCTTTTTTTTTTTTTAAGAGATGGGGTTTCACCATGGTGGCCAGGCTGGTCTCAAATGCCTGATCTTGTGATCTGCCTGCCTCGGCCTCCCAAAGCACTGGGATTACAGGCATGAGCCACAATGCCTGGCCACCAAGGCAATCCTAAGCAAAAAGAACAAAGCTGAAGGAATCATGTTACCTAACTTCAGACTACGCTACAAGGCTACAGTGACCAAAACAGCATGGTACTGATACAAAAACAGGCACATAGACCAATGGAACAACATAACCTAGAAATAAGGCCACACATCTACAACCATATGATCTTTGACCGACCTGATAGAAACAATCAATGGGAAAAATACTCCCTATTCAATAAATGGTGCTGGTATAACTGGCTAGCCATATGCAGAAGATTGAAGCTGGATTCTTTCCTTATATCATATACAAAAATAAACTCAAGATGGATTGAAGACTTAAATGTAAAACCAAAAACTATAAAAACCCTGGAAGACAACCGAGGCAATATCATCCTGGATGTAGGAATGAGCAAAGATTTCATGACAAAGACATCAAAGGCAATTGCAACAAAAGCAGAAGTTGACAAATGGGATCTAATTAAACTTAAGCACTTCTCTGCACAGCAGAAGAAACTATGAACAGAGTATACAGACAACCTACAGAATGGGAGAAAATATTGCAGCTACGCAATTGGCAAAGCCTAATATTCAGCATCTGTAAGAAACCTAAATTTATAAGAGAGACAATCCCATCAAAAAGCGGGCAAAGGACATGAACAGACACTTGTCAAAAGAAGATATACAAGTGGCCAACAGGCATATGAACAAAAGCTCAATATCGCTGATCATTAGAGAAATGCAAATCAAAACCACAATGAGACACCATCTCACACCAGTCAGAATGGCCATTATTAAAAAACAGATGCTGGCCAGGTTGCAGAAAAAAGGGAACTATTATACACTGTTGGTAGGAGTGTAAATTAGTTCAACCATGTGGAAAGCAGTATGGTGATTCCTCAAAGAGCTAAAAGCAGAACTACCTTTAGACCCAGCATTCCCATTACTGGGCATATACCCAGAGGAATATAAAGTATTCTACCATAAAGACACATGTGTGCAAATGTTCATTGCAGCACTGTTCACAATAGTAAATACATGGAATCATCCTAAACGCCCAACAATGACACACTGTATAAAGAAAAGGTGGTACGTATACACCTTGGAATATTCTGCAGCTATAAAAAAGAATGAGATAATGTCTTTTGTGGGAAAACGGATAGAGCTGGAGGCTATTATCCTTAGCAAACTAGTATAGGAGCAGAAAACTAAATGCTGCACGTTCTC